TCCAGTTTGGGGCAATAATGAAGCTGTATAGATACTTGTGTTCAGCTATTGGTATGGCTGTTAGTTTTTAATGTATCGGGTAGATATTTGGGAGTAAATTACACCAGTAAAAACCATTTAGCCTTAGCCTTATGTTTTCCCTCAACTGTATATTTATTTTATTTTTAGATTTTTAAAATTGTGTTTTATGTGCTTAACTTTTCTGGCTGCCTGTATGTGGGTGTATCATGTGAGTGCCTGGTGCCTGTGGAGATCAGAAGACAGCTGCAGATCCTGGGAACTAGAGTTAGGGATGGCTGTGAGCACCATGTGGGTACTGAGAACTGAACCCTGGTCCTCTGCAAAAGCAGCAATTACTCCTAACTTCTGAGCCACCTCCCCAACACCACCCCTTAATATTTTTATGTGATAAAATGTATAGGACAGAATTTACCACTTAACCCTCAATTTCTGATTTTGAGTTTTTCAGCTCTGGGGAGATTTGTTTATACTAACTGCACTGGCTGAATGCCCCCTTCTAAAAACCTGAAGCCTGTACTGCTCTTCATTCTCCTGCTGTTTAAATCTTTTCATGTCATCTAGTGCTCCTACTGTGTTCAAACGCTAAAAAACAAAACAAAACATTTACCTGTGTGGTATTTCCCTTTTCTCCCCCTACCCCCAGACAGGGTTTCTCTGTGTAGCCCTAACTGTACTAGAACTGGATCTGTAGAACAGGTTGGCCTTGAACTCACAGAGACCACCTGCCTCTGCCTCCCATTTTTTCTTGAAGTATGTAGCTCTTGAACTTTGTCTAAACTATTCAGTCTGAGGATGAGGATTGCATACAGATTAGGGATGAGATCACTGTGTAATTTTGTTTGTATGTTCATTTTAAAGAAAAGGAATAGACACTGTATAAAAACTGTAAGTTGGAAGAATTACCATTTATACTTCTCCCTTTCTAGGTGTTTCAGCCTAGCCCTGAAGATCATGAAAAATATGGTGGGGACCCCCAGCATCCTCATAAACTGCACATTGTCACAAGAATAAAAAGTACAAAAAGGCGTCCATACTGGGAAAAAGATACAATCAAGATGCTTGGACTACAGAAGGTATGAAGCAGTTCTAATAGTCATGTCAGTTTCGGCATGCTTTGGTCTCATACTTTTAAACCCACACTACGTGTATTTCTTTTGTTTAAATGTGTTACTTAGTGTGACCTACCTATAATTTAATTTGGAAAGGATGTGCCTTCAACTTAATGTTTTCCTGCAACGGTACCACTGCCTCTTAAATTGATCTATGATATTGCTCCTCTTGTTCATAGGCACATAGCCCTCAAATTCACAAGAACATCCCTTCAGTGAACGAAAAGTTGAAAGTGGTTAAACACTTGATACGAATCCAGCCCCTGAAGCTGCCACAAGGACTTCCCACAGAAGAGACCATGTCTAGCACGTGCCTCAAGAGCAATGGGGAATTGGTGGTACAGTGGCATCTAAAGCCTGTGGAGCAGGAAGCCAAGTCCTGATGCCACCCAGCTGCAGGTTACAAGTTGCAGTTACTGAGGAACTCATTAAAGTGTATTTCAGTCCATTCATTTGCTGCTGCTATGATTCTTTGAGATATAGACTTTGGGAGTTGTGATGTTACTTTGTTAAATTCTCTCCCTTTGTCCCCTAAGAATCTTAGGGGCAAGAATGCAGTGTCTGACATCTAACTTTAGGCCACTTTAACAATTGTCATTAGCACTTTATAGAAACTGCTTTCTTCTTTAGTTTCTTTCTCATTGAATTCTGCACATTTTGTGAGCAGCTATGTTGTAGTCAGTCCTGTGCTGCTATAACAAAGTACCCAAGGCTGGGTAGCTTATTTGGCAAAGGGGTTTATTTTGGTTCAAAGCACTGAAAAGTCCAAGCTGCAGCAGCTTATCTCATGAGGACCTCCTGCAGGATCGTAGCATGATAGGTGACATCACACAGCAAGATCAAGATCGGAAGCAAGAGCCAGGCTGTGGTAAAAAACACCCTTCATCCTGGCACTCAGAAGGGAGAGGCAAATGAGTCTCTTGTAAGTTCAAGGCAGCCTGGTCTATATACTGAGTTCTACGCCAGCCAAGACTATGTACTGAGACCCTGTCTCAAAACAGGCAAAACCCAAGAGACCAGTTTTGGTTTTCTGTAATGGTTTCCATTTGCTGCAAAGAGACGCTTTTTTGATTTTGAGTGAGAGAGTTACACTTACCTATGGATAGGGATACATTTTAGACTGCAGATAGAAATTATAGTGGCCAGGCTGCAAAGATGGCTCAGTGGTTAACAGCACTGACTGCTCTTCCAGAGAACCCGGGTTCAATACCCAGCACCCACGTGGCAGCTCACAACTGTCTGTAGCTTCAGGATCCAACACCCTTACAGACATACGTCTAGGTAAAACACCAATAAAATAAAGTAAATTTAAAAATAAATTATAGTGGCCTACTACCTCACTGGCCATCTGTAGTTGATTAGATTTCTAGTACCAAGCATGATTTCCCTCCAGTGTGGAGATCAACTGACATGGGAGTCCAGCCCCGGTCAGCACATCCACAATGTAACTCCTCACATAAGGCTCAAGGAACATCGTCAAAGTGGAGGCAGAAAGAGTGTAAGGGCCTGAAAACCAGAAGTTTGCTGTGAGATTTTGTCTCTGAAAAACACCAATAAACAGGCTAACATGAAAGGGGAAGTCTTACAGGTGGGGCAGGTAACCCACCCCTAGACTGGGGAAAACGAGGCCAGCCTGGGCTGCATAGCAAGACGGGTTCTTACATCAGATGGCGCATCAAAGAAGACACAAATAAAGTTTTATCAAAGCAACACACAGCAGGGGAATGTGTGAGGGAGCAGAGTTACTGACTTCATGGCGGTTGGGAATGAATGGGAGGCAAAGGAGGGGCTGGGGCTTGGTATCCACTTCAGGGAGTCCTCCATGGCTAGAAGACCTACCTCTCAGTAGGCCCCACCTCTTGAAGACTCCGCCTCCTCCTGCTGATGCCAAGTTGGGGCCAAGCATTTAACATAAGGGCTTTTGGGGGCCACTCCAGATCCAAATCATGGCAACTGTACTCACCCCAATTTGGAAAAAAATTTTAAAAGTGAAAAGTAAACTTTACAATGAAAAACCTGACTCATTATCTCTAAGAGGAACTCAGGCAACAAATATAAAGAAAATTGAAATGGATGAAGACACAAGAAAATTTAATGGTTCCATATTTGGTGATTAACATCTTTGGCATTGTTCTCAGTAAATTCCTGGAAATTCACTATTGTACTACAGATGCAAGACAAGTGGGGACTGTGATAGTTCGATTGTGTCTAATTAGTCGTTCTAATAGATTCTGCAGAAGCCCAGCACAGAAACCAGGAGGCATAGTAGACTTGTGTGTTCTTTCCAGATTATGTGTAACATGTCAGAGGTGCAAACAGGAAGTACTGGAACAACGTTCCCTGCTTTGTGACTCAGATGCTGTCAGTTCTTCCATGTCTCTAAATTCTCACTTGATCTGCCTGCTTGTGCTGCAACTCCTCGCTCTTGGAAATTTGGACAAGTGTTTTATATTTGTGCTTGTTTAGCAGATCAGACTAGCAAGAAGCCACACCCTCCCCATACAGGCAGATGCTTCATCCAGTGGCTTTCAGAGGTGCTGGGCAGAGACTCCAGTCCTGCACCAGTGAAGGCAGATAATTCTGAGATGAGTGTTTCACACGGCTCCACATTGATTTCCTGAAAGGTTGAATCCCATTGCTCACTAGGGTATTTGGCTTGCTGACACATGTTTTATTATTTTCTCATCCATATCATTGAACCACTCTATATCTGTTTTCTGGTCCCCCCTAAACTATTTGCACCCACATTTTTGTCATAGGTCAGGTTCTGAGGGAACCAAACCAAGACAACTTTAATACGTGGCCCTCTATAGGACACCTCTCAGTGTGTCAGTCAGAACAAGAACCCTGGGGAAATAGATTCAGGGTGCAAGTGTACTATTTCCGGTTTCATAAATTACTTGAAGCTTATCTCCCTACACATTAACTGTCTTTGCAACAGTGACATCAAAGGGGCAAGTGTTGAAGGAAATGAATGCTTCTAGGGGAAAAGTGAAAAGAAATCATCCGTGAGCAGCATGTACATCTGAAGAACACCTCCGACCAAACACATTTAGGGAGGAGAACGCAAATATTTAACAGCTGGTAAAGCTTGGGCTTTGTCAAATCCTAAGAATGATTACACAGCAGGCACGATGGCCCACAGTATAATACCAGAATTTAAGAAGCTGAGGCAGGAGGATTTCTATGAGTTTGAGAGCAGCATGGGATATAGAGTGAGGCCTTGTCTGGTTCTGATTTGGCTCCTTCAGGCTGGATTGGGTGCTCTTTGGGACAGAGAATGGTTCACCTGGATCTTTCCAAAGTGGCTAAAGGAAGGGTGGTAAAATTTTGGTTCCTTCTCATAAAGAGAAAGGACAGGCAGAAAATGCCCAGCAAATGTCTCCAACAAGAACAAAAAAAACCCAGAGTCACTTGGCAGGAACACGTAAAGCTTCACAATCCAACACATTATAGTGTCCTTTCCTGATGAGGCAACTAAAAGCCACAACCAGCACCCATCATCTCTTCTTCATCTGTTGCCTCAGAGTGGATCTGGCCTCTGAGACAGACACATCTCATGAGCAGAGTCCTAGCAATTGGGGCAGATACTGGAAAAGGGACAAAGGCTCACTTCTTATTAGTAATTCTGGTAGACAGAGTATAGGTGACCATTGAAATCATGGGCTGAAATGAAACCTGGCTAGAACATGCACGTGTTGTGTGCCATGTTCATATAGACCAAGAAATTATATGTACATCTATGAATATTTCCTAGGAACCATATGTGGACTTAGGGCTTTTTCTTTTCTTTTTTCTTTGTGATAAAGATGGAACCCAGAGCCTTGCACATGCTAGGCAAGAGCTCAACCAACTGAACTACATCCCCACCTCTCTTCCTTCTTTCTTTCCTTCCTTCCTTTTGCATGCTTTTATTAAAAAGTTTGGAGACAAACTTTCATAATTTTAACCATGTCTTTGTTCCTATTGAGTGCAATGGGCTAATATTAAACTTTGAAAGAGGGGCCAGTTGAGTTCCTCATCAATGTACCTCTGTCTAGAAGCCATGTCTTTTATAGAATTTAGCTCGGGCAATAATGTCATCGACTAAGTCAGCTTCTATGTCTGCAGGAGTGACAATGGTTTCCAATCCTGACTTAAAAGCAACCAGACCACCTGAAATGAAACACACAGGGTTAGATTACAATATTAGCTGTCAGCAGAGATAAGACATGAGCACCCAAAGACATAACTCACCACCCTCCAGGCAAATACTCCAGAGTAGTGAGGTTTCTGTTTTCTCTTTACAGAGCCCAGATCTGACAGAACTAATACAAGATGGTAACATTTTCTCATTTATTCAACAATGCACTCATTCATTCATTCATTCATTCACTCACTCATTCATGTTTTTAAAAGCACCTATTGTGTGTCAGAAGAGTCTCCTCACTGAGTGCAAGGTACCCAAGATTGATTTCTCATGGGGGCTTGTGTTCATGTATGTGCTATTTTTCCCAAAGTTCATCTTTGATCATTATTAATGTATTTTTAAAAATTGTGCTTTATGCAGATATTCTCCTTCCTGCCTTTGAGGACCTCGAGATAGAAAGACAAAACTCTTTGCTCAAAGTCAGACTGTTAAAGTGTGGAAAGAGAGTACACGTGTAAATATCCAAATCATGATCCTGTAAGAGGCAAACTGAGGAATTGGTGCGGCTGGAAGGATAGAAAGAAAAAGCAAGTGAGTCCAAGGAGAAAAAAATTCTTTTTCTGGCTGTGATGAGTGGCTAAATCAGTGTCTCTGAAAACAAAAATAAAATAAAAGCAAAGGGAAGATGTGGTGGTGGCCTAGTGAGTTAATTCCATCTGGGAGCTGCTGAACTTCAGTGCCTCTGAGTTCAGCCAAACAGAAATTTTCAGTTAGACTTCTTGGGGTAACTGAAGCTCTGAAGTTCCTTAGAGTAAAAGTTTATTCAAACAACTTGGAAAATAGTTAATAGTATTGGATCAGGAGGGAAAAAAAAGACCTATGAGAAGGTAAACAGTGTTTTTTGGTTTTCGAGTTTTTCGAGGCAGGGTCTCTCTGTGGCTTTGGAGGCTCTCCTGGAACTAGCTCTTGTAGACCAGGCTGGTCTCGAACTCACAGAAATCTGCCTGCCTCTGCCTCTGCCTCCAGAGTGCTGGAACTAAAGGCGTGCACCCCCCCTTCCCCCAGTGGTAAACTGTGTTTAACTTTTAGGGTATTAGGGTATTATTCAGTGACTTAGTAGTTGACCAGAAATTCAGTAAGAAACCTAGCATCTTGCAGGAGGGTAAAGGATAAGAAGTCATGCATGGTCCAGACGATGCTAAAGCATCCTTTAGACAGGCATGCCCTCCTAGCCAACCCAGTGGGGATGCTTCCAGGGGCCTGGGGCACAGTTGCTTTTAGTAGACTCATTCACTGCTCATTTAAGCAAAGCACTAGGCTTAAGACCTACCTCTGAGGTGCTGAGCCGCATTCCATGTGGGAAATTTTCTCTGGATTGCCTTAATTTTTTCTGCTAGAATCCCAACAGACTGTAGAAGGTGTTCTTTGCTGTCCCAGGAACCAATAGGATGGTGTGTCTTATCAAGCTAGAAAAGTCAAACAATGGAGTCAGTATCTGGGCAAGGTGGCACACTTTCTGCTATTCCCAGGTCACCCCCTTTGTATTCAAGTTCAAACACTGGGCCCAGTATCTTTGACCCACAAAAGTATATTTTAATGTCTTGTCTTTTCTGGACGAGAGAATCAGAGACCAGTTCAGGAGAATCTCACTGGGTGCTTTCTGATGCACAAAATGAGGGAGGAGGAGACCGAGAAGGAAAAATGCTTCAAAGTGAATAATTAGTATCAAACCTCTAGACATCCACAATGAAAATAATTATGCAGCTACTTCAAAGAAAATATTTTTTTTAGCTGGGCTTGGTGATACAGATAACCCCAGCACTAAGGAGGCAGAGGCAAGAGGGCCACCACAAGCTCCAGGCCAGCATGGGCTGGCTACAAAGCAAGTTTTGGGTTGGCCAGAGTTACACAGTGAGATGCTGCCTCAAAACAAATAAAGGGCCTAGAAACAAATATTTAAATAATTATGCTCCCCTTCCTTCAATTAATCCACATTCATGAATTTTACTACTCCAGAAACTCCAAGAGGTCAGCTTTATTTTTATAACATCATCAATTATTATAATTATTATTATATAAAGATTATTATTAAGCTTTATAAAATTTTCCCAATTGGCCGGGCGTTGGTGGCACACGCCTTTAATCCCGGTACTCGGGAGGCAGAGGCAGGCGGATCTCTGTGAGTTCGAGGCCAGCCTGGTCTCCAGAGTGGGTGCCAGGATAGGCTCCAAAGCTACACAGAGAAACCCTGTCTCAAAAAACAAACAAACAAACAAAATTCCCAATTGAAGTATAGTTCATGTTGTCTATAGTAGCTATAGATACAGGTATAGTTGATACATTGTGGTTATGATACACAGGAAACATTTTAAAGAAATGCCCAATGACTGCTAATTCTTGAATGAAACACTACAGAGCAAAGTGTCCTGAAGCCCCTATGCCCCGCCACTTGGGTATTCAGGTCCTGGAATGGACTTTAAGTTTGGGCTGAGCTTCTGCAAGAAGAGATAAAGTTGGGTTGATGGAGAGTCTCTGGTTATTTACCTGCATCAAGCCAAATTTCTGTCCCTTATGGTCCCAGCCATTTTGCAGAACAACTCCTCCATGGCTTTCTCTGGAGATGATGGCTGCAATGATAGCGGGGTCGATGCAGTATCTCTGCCCCACTTCTTTGATGAGGATACGGTAAGACTTGATGGCTTTCAAGTCCATCTCGGCAAACATTTCCGAACCGTGGATCCCTATGTTGGCAGAAAAGAAACCGTGTCCTCTATCCCAGAAAAGAACAGGTTCTCAGAGTTCATTAATTTAGTCTCAGCTTCTGACCACACCCACAGCTCAGGACCATAATTCTAATACAGCCTTCCGACCTCTTACTACAGAAATCCAGGCAGGTCCACCAACTCCTGCTAGATGGAGCCACCGCAGCTGCTTCTCCTTCTCCTTCCTGCCACGATGGAGCACCGACTAGGAGTTAGTGGAGCCAAGTTATACTCCAGCTCTGCAACCAACCAGTTCTGTGCCAGAGGATGTGACTCCTTGCTGAGCCTCTGCTCCGTGCATTGAGAACATGGGCTTACATGATCTTGCATGAGGAAGATTTTGAAATAGGGTTGCAAAGGAGGGAAGTTATATGAGACAGAGACTCTGCTTGCTTGGAATACTCATGCTGCAGCATGAACTGAGCACAACAAAGCTGGAATTGGACCTTTTATTTAAGGAATGGTTTTGCCATATCGAAATCAACACATCTGGACACAATTTGGAAAGAATCATGGAGGGGAAAAAAGTGGTTTATTAGGTTGGCTAGGGCACTTAAAAAAAAAAAAAACTTTTTAAGACAGGGCCTCCCTTGGCCGGGCATTGGTGGCACACGCCCTTAATCCCAGCACTCCGGATTATGCTGTGTATGGTGGTGCACACCTTTAATCCCAACTCTCCCAAGGTAGAGGAGAATGGATTTGAGGCTATACTCTATACTTTTGAGTTCTAGGCCAACCAGGAAGACCCTGTCTTTTTTTGTTTGTTTGTTTTGTTTTTTGAGACAGGGTTTCTCTGTGCAGCTTTGAAGCCTATCCTGGAACTAGCTCTTGTAGACCAGGCTGGCCTCGAACTCACAGAGATCCACCTGTCTCTGCCTCCCGAGTGCTGGGATTAAAGGCATTTGGTGTTGGCTCCTTTTCAAAACAAATTACCTACTAAGAAAAACTCTGCAAATGATAATTGTGATGGTGGACAGGACCCTGCTCTAGTTTGTACTTACCACAGTTCATCAGGTTGTTTATGTCACAGGGGGCCCCAAAGGTTTCCATAGTCATGATGTCTCCATAGCAGCCATGGTAAAGTCGGGGATGCAGATGAGGGTTCATGGAATGTGTTAATGGGTATGAGCCCCTGGAAGTGCCTGGAGAGCAGAATGATTATTTATGTGAAGCCTTCAAGAAAATATTGCTTGACTTGATCACACACACACACACACACACACCACAAAGCAATGCAACAGTAGAGACCATAAATTATTATTCCTGCTCAACTCCTTTTTCTACCAAGAATTCATCAAAGGCAAAAGTGACCCTTTCCCATTGATTCCAAACTTTGTTTTAACTTCTAGAAGTTATTCTAGAACACCATAAAATATGCGTGAAAATCAGTGCATATAGGTTACACACACACACACACACACACACACACACACACACACACACACATTGTAGTCCCCATCAGAATGAAAGTGGCCACAGGATTTTTCTCCCTGGTACTGAGATCAAACCCAGGTCCTCTCACATGTCAAGTATATTCTCTAGCATTGATCTGTGTCCCTGCCCAGCACAAGATTTAATGAAAGTTTTAAAAGCAACTTCTGATATAAACACTTCTGGAGTGTAAACAACTAAGTAAAAAAAGAAAAACAAGAAAGGTACTATGAGTAGTTGCATAGACTTTCATCTTGTGTCATGTTGATATAAGGCAAGGCTCTGGACCCATTTAACAACATTAGAAATAAATGACTTAGGTTACCATAACAACTTACATCAAAATTATGTCTGTTTTCTACTGTGTCATTGTGACCTAATTAGTTTGTTCAGGTCCCTCCGCTAAAGGAAATCTGACATTATTTCACATAATGTTATGAGTTTTCTCACATCAATCCAAGGCTCATTAGTTTATTTTGTAGTTTTGGCAATTTTTACATTTTATTCTTATTTATTTTTTGAGATTATAATATGATTTTATCATTTCTTCCTCCTTTCCTTCTTCCAAAAAACATCTACTAAGATAACTGTATTACCTCATTTATGCCAACAACTTTTTAAAGATAAGAATTGAGTTAACTTAGCCAGGTGGCGCATGCCTTTAATCCCAGCACTCTGGAGGCAGAGGCAGGTAGATCTCTGTGAGTTCAAGACCAGCATGGTCTACAAGAGCTAGTTCCAGAACAGACTCCAAAGTAATACAGAGAAAAACCTGCCTTGAAAAACCAAAAAAAAAATTGAGTTTGCCCACAATATATATAATTTTTATGAATATAACAGTATTAAGAGACTATACTTTATTAGAACTAGGTATATAACAAATAGAACTCTTCTTTCTACTATTTATTTTATTAGGAAACCAGAACAATTCTAAAGATTTTTAAAAGTATTTTAAGGTAAAATTCTGAAAAACAAATACAGGGATTTAGCAGGCTGTAGTTATATATGTAACTGTAAAGGAGAAGAGGTCCTGAATTTGAGAGGGATCAGGGAGGAAGACAATGGAGGATTTGGATGAAAAGGTGGAAATGATGTAAATTGTTATGTGAGATTTTTTTTTGTCCCAACTGGTCCCACTACCCTTCTCAGCCCCAAAGAAGTACAACGGATGCTATATTAGTTATAAATTTGTTGGCTGGTGACTAGCGTTTCTTTTTTTTTTTTTTTTTTTGAGACAGGGTTTCTCTGTGTAGCTTTGGAGCCTATCCTGGCACTGGCTCTGGAGACCAGGCTGGCCTCGAACTCACAGAGATCTGCCTGCCTCTGCCTCATGAGGGCTGGGATTAAAGGCGTGTGCCACCAACGCCCGGCTTGTGACTAGCGTTTCTTATTGGCTAGCTCTTTCTTAATTATTGACCCATTTCTATTAATCCATGTATTTCCACGTGGTCTTGGCTTACTGGGGAATGCTGGACCTGCAACTCCTTTGCCTGCTACATGATGACTGCTCAGTGTCTCTGCAGAGAAGAGAGCAATTTCCTGTTTGTCCTTGCTTATATCCTGATTCTGCCCAGCTACGTCACTTCCTGTCTGGCAATCAGCCAATAAGTGTTTTATTCATTAACCAATAAGAGAAATATATATATATATATATATACAGAAGAACATTCCCCATCAGTAAGTTGATGTAAATACAGTACTTATTAAAAATATTTAAAAGAGGACACAAAGTAGGAAGGGCATGGTTGTGGATCTTGGTGGAGTGGAGAATGAATATGATTAAAGTGTATCACATGCGTGTATGGAAGAATTAATAAAAACTGTTACTTAAAAAGAGCAACAAAAACACAAGCATAACCCATTTTCTCTAATTCACAAACAGACCGAAAAGGAATTGTGAATGGACCCAAAAAGTTAGGCAATGAAACCATTGCAGAAGTCAGGATACTGACAAATTATCCAGATGATAAAAACAGAAACCAGCAGAGCCATCAAGTACTGTGAGAAATGGATTTCTATGTGATACACAAAGCAGAACTACCACACAGCCCCTATCACACTATCTCCCTCTAAGGCTGTCTTTCTTGTGCCCATGAGGCGTGTAGTAAATATCAGAGACCTTCCCAGATTTGGTTTCTGCATATAGGAATTCAACCAACTATGGAAGGACTATGTTGTGTCTGTACTGAACATGTACATGCTAATTTTTCTGATCATTCCTTAAGAAATATAGAATAGGAACTATTTATGTAGTATTCACTATTACAGAATATTTGTTTACCCTGTGAAGATGTGTCTTTGCCAAGGTGCTTTCTGATTGGTTTAGTAAAGTGCTTTCTGACTGGTTTAGTAAAGAGCTGAATGACCAATAGCTAGGAAGGAAGAAGTTAGGTTGGATTTCCAGAGACAGGACTCTGAGAAGAAGAAAGGCAGAGACGCGAGGAGATGCAGAGCAATCAAGATGTTCAGGAAAGAGAGGTAACAGCCATGAGTCATGTGGCAGAATGTAGAGTAACACAAATGGGTTAATTTAAGTTATAAGAGCTAGTTAGGAACAAGCCTAAGCTATAATGTCTCCACGAATTGTTGGGACAGAGAAAGACTCATTACAGTTCACATTGCATTAAATATTAAAAATCATCTAAAGGAGCTGGAGAGATGGCTCAGCAGTTAAAAGCACTGAGTTCAATTCCCAACAACCACGGGGTGGCTCACAACCATCTATAGTGGGATCTGATGCCCTCTTCTGGCATAAAGGCATACATACAGATAGAACACTCATATGTAACATAAATAGATAAGTCTTAAAAATTAGGGCTGGAGAGATGGCTCAGAGGTTAAGAGCACTGACTGTTCTTCCAGAGGTCCTGAGTTCAATTCCCAGCAACCACATGGTGGCTCACAACCATCTATTATGAGATCTGGTGCCCTCTTCTGGTGTGCAGATATACATGGAAGCAGAATGTTGTATACATAATAAATAAATAAAATCTTTTTTTAAAAAAGTCTTAAAAGTTAAAAAAAAAACCTAAAGATGATTTAAAATACAAGAGGTGTATGGGTTCCTATGCAAATCATACTCCATTTTATTTAGATAAGGGATGGAGTATCCTCAGATATTGGTATTCACTAGAGTCATAAAACCAACATGCTGATACTTGGGAGCAAATGTACTTTTTAAAAGATACTTTATTTAGCTTTATTTTATGTGCATTGGTGTAAAAGTATCAGATCCCCTGGAACTGGAGTTACAGACAGTTGTGAGCAGCCATGTGGATGCTGGGTATTGAACCCAGGTTCTCTGGAAGAGCAGCCAGTGCTCTTAACCACTGAGCCGTCTCTCCAGCCTCACAACTGCACTTCTGAGTGAAAGAATAATGGATTCTCATAACAGAGATTCATGTAAAATCCAAAGTGCCTGGTTTGGGAATGAGCCTACAGAATAAAGACATCTATGCAGAAGCTGACCCCTTCTTCCTGCTGTGTACCACTATGGCCAAGACGGTGTCATTGCTTATCTGGAACTGTATAGGCCTCCTCGCTGACCTCCCAGCTCCACTCTCCCTCCTGGCCACCATACTGGGGACACCTATGGAACTTACCGGTCTTAAGCTTCACGAATTTCCATCACCATTCAGAGAGGTGGCTAAGTCTGCATACTTCATTCCCCTCTACCATATTTCACTGGACCCATGGCTCCTTTCCAAAGACCCCCTCCTTTTCTTGTATTCAAGTATTCCCTGTGCTTGTTCTTCGGCATACCGGCAGGCTTCTCTCATAAGCCCTTTGCACAGGTGTTCAGTTTGACCAGAGTCTACGTGATTTGCTACTGCACAGCCTTCCGTTATGTTCAAATATCACATGAACAGTAAAAGGGATAAACAGAATGCGTGGAGAAAAGAGAAAGCATCTTTAAACATACGAAAGATTGTCAAGCACACTAAAAGGAAGACGGCCAGATCGACACATTTCTACAACAGTATTTTCACACTCCATGTAAGAAAAGGAAAAAAAATGTAGTTATATGTTCATGTACAATCTACTTACATTTTCAAAGAAATAATACAAAGATGAACCAAAGACCAATAAGAATTGGTCGGGGAAGGTAAAAGGGCCAAAGAGACAGGGGTAGAGACTAGATGTTTCTAAATGATTTGAATGGTTTCGAATAGTTTTTACTTTGGAGGCATATAAATGCCGCTATAGTTTAAAAATGAAATTGACTAGGAAAAAGGAATTACAGAAAAAGAAAAACCTGACTCTATACAAAATTGGAAGACTAATTCACACATAAGAGAAAATTATTTCAGGTGAACTTATGCCAATGTAAATATAACCAAAACATCCTATGACATGCATATATGAATAGATTGGAGCATAAAGCAATCATAAATTATATTAAAAACTCACTGCTGATTATTTTGACACTCCTCTTCATAAATTGCAACATATATGCATTTAGAAACAGAAATTTTTATGTAACATTGCAGAGGTAAAGAAGATCTGGAAGAAATAGCAACCCTAACCAGTGGTGTACCCTTAGCTCCCAAACTGTAGTCTCTAAATACCGCTCCCTCCTAAGAGGATCCAGATCTTTTGGAAAAATGCCTGCTTCCTGACTTGGGACAGGAAATGTGAGAGTAAGCCAGGATCAGCATGTCCTGCCAGAAAAGGTCCTTACATTTAGCCGGTGAAATGTTATGTTTCTATTTTGTTTTGTGTATATGGTGTTTTGCCTGCCTGTCCATCTGTGCACCATGAAGGCCAGAAGAGGGCACTGGATCCCCTGGAACTGGAGTTACAGACAGTTGTGAGCTGCCATGTGATACTGGGTCCTCTTGAAGAGTAGCCAGTTCCTCTAACGGCTGACCTATCTTTCCAACCCAGGGCCAAATGTTTGATGATTTAGATTTGCTGCAAAAAACACCAACCAAACATTCATGTCACATACATACATGTTTGTGCATGCTTGAGCACACAAGCTCTCGCTCTCTCTCTCTCTTTCTCTCTCTCTCTCTCTCTCTCTCTCTCATACACACACACACACAGAGACACACACACACACACACAGACACACACACTCACTCACACATCAGACATCAAAGTCAAGCAAGGTAGGGGGCCAGGCTTGATAAAATAAGAGTGGCAAAGGGTTGAAGCTGCTAAAGTTGGTTATGAGCTTGTGAAAGTTCTGTTTTGTTGGTTTGAAATTTTCTACAGTTAAAAGAATTTGTAGGCCAGGTGACGTAGCTCAGTATACACCAAGTAGAGTGCTGGCCTAACTTGCCTGAAGCCCTGGGTTTTATCACCAACAAGATGTAAACTGCACACAGCACTCAATAAGATTAGGGGTATCAGGAGTTAAAGGCCATTCTAGGCTATCCAGGTGGTGGTCGAAGCCTTAGCTACTGTAACACTATCTTTAAAAAATATTTTAGAATATCGTTTCAAAAGTTACTTTATCAAAGGGAATGGGGTTTATTGCAGGGATAGAATGTGTGTTTGAAGTGAATGAAGGTTCAACCCTCAGTACCAAAAAATTTGCTTTATCAGAGAGCCTTTTGGTTCACCTATATTAAAAAGATGAACAAAATTATACTCATACTTCATTCCTTGGCTCCCAGTACCTTACATTACTATAAATATGTTGACAGGCTCACCCTCCATTCATAAAGAGGTAGCCTTTGTCATGTTCACTGTGTATCCACAGTCACTGGGATACTCATTTAAAATGCTTGCCCTGGGGCTCCTCATATCAGGTATACTAAATCAGAAATCTTATCTCCAAGACCAAAGAGCCCTCATTTTAAGTAGCATTCTTAGTTGACTTTTATGCATGCTTGAGAACCATTGCTTTAAGGGATCTACAATATGACCATGGACTCTTGTGCTAACATCAACATACCAGTCTTTTTAAAATTGGTCATCCTTCATTTGCACATAGATAGAATAGTAGCTCACAATTAATTCACGGGCTATTATACAACTCTGCTCCCAACTGGCAATTAAAAATGAATAAAAATTTAAAAACATGTTGCTCTGCTTTTAACCAAAAGTAACTGCAAATTATTGCCCTTGGGCTGGGTTCACATTTCCAAATTTAGAAGTAAAGACTGTCAAAGTACTCGTTTCTCAATTTAGCATGACAACTGGAACACTGCTTATAATGGGTCTTAATTTTTCTTTGTTTTTTGTTTGTTTGTTTGTTTGGTTTTTTGAGACAGGGTTTCTCTGTGTAGCTTTGGAGCATATCCTGGCACTTGCTCTGGAGACCAGGCTGGCCTTGAACAGAGATCCGCCTGCCTCTGCCTCCTGAGTGCTGGGATTAAAGGTGTGCGCCTGGCTTGGGTCTTCATTTTTCTTAAACTACTGTTTCCACGTTTTCTTTCCATCCATCCATCCATCCATCCATCCATCCACCTACCTACCTATCTATCCATCCATCTTTTTTGAGACAAATTCTCACTCTGTAGCCCAGGCTAATTTCAAACTTGTGGTGATTCTTTTGCATTAGCCTCCTGAGCGCTAGGATTATAGGTATGAGCCACCACACCTGGTTCATCTCTTCTTGTCCCACCTACCTTTTCCAGGACCACAGTTTGATTCCCAGCACCCACACAGTGGTTCATAACCATCTGCAGTTACAGTTTGGGGGTATCCAGTGTCCTCCTCTGTCCTACACAGGCATGTTCATGGTACACAGACATATACATGTAAGCAAAACACCCATACACATAAAATGAAATAATTGTAAAACAATTAAAAGAAATCTTCTGTTCTGACCTTACCAGTCAGCTCTCTTTATCCCAAATACTTCATCTCAACACTGTGCTTTTACTAAGTCATTGCTTCTGTCCATCAGGTTCTTCTCTTCCCATAGTAAATTGCCCTGCATCATTCACTCATTTTGTGACCTCCCAAAGGCTTTCAGGTCTGAGCTTCCTATATAGATGTGAACTTTTCATTCTAAACTCCAACACTAGTGGATTTTCCCTCTCCATGTACTCATCTAATAACTCTTATCCACTACCTGGCATGGAGAATTTTCTCTTCATGTGCCATACCCCTCTTTATAAGAATCCCAAACACGTAGGTGCATTGTCAAAGAATATATAGGCCAATAAGTATTTAATTATTTTAAATACCACCAGTATCTCCTTTGTGTGCTTAGCAAGCAGAATATACCCTTAAAATTAAGCAGTTGGGGACCAGGAGAGATGGCTCAGTGGTTAAGAGCACTGGCTCTTCCAAAGGACTCAGGTTCAATTCCTAGCACCCACATGGCAACTCAAGACTGTATCTCCAGTTCCAGGGGATCTGACAGCCTCATGTAGGCATATATTCAGGCAAAGCCCCAATGTACATTAAAATATATAAATAAATCTTTTTTTTAAATGAGCAGTTGGTCAAGGATGGGGGGATGCTCAGTTGCTTTGCTTATTGGACAAGTTTGACAGCTAGCTTGGCCAAATCATAAACTCCGGGTTCAGGGAGAGGCCTTGTCTAAAAAACGAGGGGCGATGATTGAGGAAGACACTTGAAGTCAATTCTGACCTCTCCCTCTGTTCCATCACATATTTCTCCCACACGCGCGCACACACACACACACACACACACACACACACACACACACACACACCTGTTCACATATTTATACACATATATAGATGGACACACACAAAGAAAAGCAAAGACAATCAATAAGCAATTGGTTGCCGGGCGGTGGTGGCTCATGCCTTTAGTCCCAGCACTCGGGAGGCAGAGGCAGGTGGATCTCTGTGAGTTCGAGGCCAGCCTGGTCTTCAAAGAGAGTTCCAGGACAGGCTCCAAACCTACAGAGAAACCCTGTCTCAAAAAAACAAACAAACAAACAAACAAACAAACAAACAAACAACAACAAAAAGCAGTTGGTTAATGGCCAGGCAGGTCAGGAGAGCCCACTCCTCTGTTGCATTTAATCGTTATCCTTTCTGACTATGCTAGAAAACAGACACCCTGCGAATAAGGGAAAATGCCAATCAACTACTTACCAATGAGGGCAACAAGTCCCCAAAACACCGCCGAGGGTAGCATGGTCGTGACCCTTATCCTTTGGGATCTTTACTGGTTTGAAATAGAAACAGATTAATTTTAAAACGTGAAAGTTTCTTAACAGGAAGTTCCTGTAATTTTTTAAAAAATGAGTTAAAAACCTTAGAATCATTTCCAATTCAACACCTATTTTCCTGTTCTCTGCCAGCATTTCTGCAGCTTCAAGCATGTGCATCCTCAGAGCTCTCTCCTACAGCGTAACTCCCAGTGCCTGTATCACGTCTTACATATATAACCCCACGCACACTTAACAGAGGTTTGCTGTATTCTATCTCTTCCCTTGGTTTTGTATACAAAGCATCTCTATGCTTCACAAGATACAGAAAGCTGGCGCTTACCTCCTTTGCAACCTCCCAGAGAAAACTCTCCTGTCTTCGAAGAAGCCTTTAGTGGCAGCAGCCTGCAGGTAAAGATTTCACAGAGTCGTGGCCTTTGCTGTAATATGTTTTATAACATAGTTGTAACAGTTGGAGAATTAATCAGGCAGTGGCTCGCTGTGCTTCTGGCTTCATCCAACTGAGCAGACCTCAGTGTGGCTCCACCACCAAGAAGGAAGCTTTTAAACACCGGTGCTTAGACTCACCGGCCTCGTCTGCTTTTGTCCTGTAGCAATGATTGGCAGAGGAGCTTTATATATGATTTAAAGGCCTCTCTTTAAACCATTGGCCTCATTAGACCTGATTATAGTCATACCTTGGATTTAGGTGGCTCCTTCCATAAAAGGACTTCAAAGTGTTTGTTGAGCATGATGAATTAATGAATCTAATGAACCCCCCGGGTTGTACTGGAGGCATCTATTTGGTGGACCATTTCTGGATACCTAAAATGACATTGGGCACGCATCTTCCAAATTTGAGAATCAAATACCGATAATTGGCCTAGGAAGTAGAAATAAACAGGAAATGCTAGCTCATTTCTGAATGGATAATTCGGGTAGAATACTGATTTCCACATTCTGGTATCACAGGAGTGCCACACAAAGATGTCACACAATCTTGCACCATTATGTCACTTGACTGTAATAGATGAACTTGGCTTCTGGCTCCAAGTTCATCTCTAACAGGGTAGCTGCCTGCAATAGAAGAGCAGGGAGTAGCAGTCTGGGTGCTCATTGTCACCATTGTTTTCTGTGTACACATGCATGTGTATGGAGAGGTCACCAGTCAGCATCAGATGTCTTCCTCTTTTGATCTCCACATTATTTTTTGAGACAGGGTCTCTCCCTGGACCTGAATTTCACTAATTAGTCAAGAATAGCTGACCAGCGACACTCTTGTCTGCCTCCCAAATATTAGCAGTACAAACGCATGGCACTGTGTCCAGCATCTTGCCTGGGTGCTGAAAATCTCATTTGCACTTTACTGACTGACGCTTCTCTTTAGCTCTGTTACTTCCCAAAGTTTCTAAGGAAGTAGGAGAAAAGGGTTTTTGCTGGCGGTAAATATATCTCCAAGGAGACAGCATCTTTTTCTTTTTTACACTTATAAGAGATGAAAGCACACACAGGAAATGGAAAGAACATTCTTACACTAGGCCAAGCACATTTCCCAGAGTGGGGGAAGAAGTCCAGGCTGCATACAATCCTTCCATCCACCAGGAGACAGAAGACAAAGGCACTGAGCTATCCAACTGTCCAGTTTCCTAAGAAGGAGGCAGAGCCTAGGAGAAGCTGCCTATATGAACCTTGGTCTCCCTCTCAGGACACCCACTTCTGTCCTGTGTGCTTTACTGCAGAGTAGGTACATTCGGGAAGGCAAGGCTGGGATGCTCTGAGCTGATGGCTGATCTCTGATCCCTGTCTTGAGTCTCAGGAAAATGACTCACAGAGGGCCTCCTCTATCTCCATTGTCAATACTGCAGTCAGGGCTGCTCATTAATAAAGGGTTTTGCACAAGACGAGCTGCCCTGAGGCCGACTTTAGAAACATGGAGGTTATTACTGGCAACAATGCCACCTTTCAGGTCACAGTGAGGCATTGTGTTTGTGGCCTTCCCGAGTGCCAGCCAGGGATGAGTTGGGCTCCTGATGTGAGGTTTCCAGGACAAGCACGAGAAAGCTCAGGAAAGGAGTAAGAAGGGATGGATAAAGAATTTAAAGGAAAAACTAGGTGGAGCTCATGCTGTCCCTAGATGCTCCTGGAATTACCAGGATTCATAGAGTACTGTTGACCATGAAGTACACCCTGGTTCTCTCCCCACCTTCAGAAGTGAGGCTGTGTGTGCATCTTTCTAGGTATAAGAATCACAATGTCCATGCCCTCTGCAACTTCAATTGCTTTCAAATGTGAACCCTTCTGCCTTACTCAAACTGGAGGGTTGGAGGTGGAAGAAAATTTATTTGAGAGTCTTCAAATGCCAGACTCCTTTGTATTTAGAGTATTCCATCCTCCAATAGGAGTGGGTATTGCTACTTTAGAAATATGGAACCCAGGTCCGTGAGACTCTCTGACCAATGTTTTACCACAAGAGCAGAGGGTCACTCTCTAAACTAACCACCCTGAAGAGTAACTGCCACAGAAGGTCTAAAGCAGCCTGCACCCAAAGCCTCACCTGTGGTCTGACTAAATAACACCAGTCCCAGAGAGTCACACCATTATCTCTGTGGGCAGTGCTGTGAGTTCTACGGCCCAGGTTAATGTGAATGGACCAAATCCGCAGTGCCCCATTTTCTCTGTAATGATTTGGTTAATATGTATTGAACTTGAGCAGTAGGCTTGGTAGAGTGCTCGAAAAGGCATGGCAGGGTGGCTGTGCGCATCAAGACGTTAATGCCTATAACCTACTGACCCAGTGGATGGCCAAATTTTTGTTGTTGTTTGTTTGGTTTTGTTTTTCTTTTTGTTTGTTTGTTTTGTTTTTCAAGACAGGGTTTCTCTGTGGCTTTGGAGGCTGTCCTGGAACTAGCTCTTGTAGACAAGGCTTGTTTGGAACTCACAGAGATCTGCCTGGCTCTGACTCCCCAGTGCTGGGACTAAAGGCGTGCACCACCACTTTCCGGCTTCTCATTTCATTTTTCAAGACAGGGTTTCTATGTGTAGCCTTGGCTGTTATGGAACTCATTCTGTAGACCAGGCTGGCTTTGAACTGGCAGAGATCCACCCTCCTCCTCCTCCTGAGTGCTTGGATTAAAGGTGTGTGCTGCTTCCATCTGGCCTGAGGATCTTAACAATATTTTGACATTTAAAAAGAAATCCACCAAATGATTCTCCCACACTTTCCAAGGATAGCAAGAGTGACTATTTTTAGGAGGGTCTTGAGTAGACCTTGGCACCTGATACAATCTCCACCAGTCCCTCAGGCTTTCCCAAATAGAAATGGAAAACATAGAAGCAACATCCTCGCTATGCAAACAAAACTGCCTGTGCCTAAGACTTTGGTGTAGCAATCTCTGGTAGCCTCTAATGAGTCTTGATATATTTGAGTGCTGGTCTTAGAAGTGGGGATCCAGTAGCCCCAGCATCTAACCGGCCCCAGAAATAGACTGAGAAAGATAACTGCAATTTCCACAAAACTGACTCTTTGGCCAGTCTCATTAGAGGCAGGGGTACGGCAAGAGGAGTCTGGTCCAGGTATCTCATCTGTGTCCCACACTAGCCAAACAATTGGTCCAGACATTGGTTTTCCTTATGTGTCTGGAGAGAATAGGCTGTACAAGAGCAGATGCCCCATGAGCAAAACTCTGCAGGCCAAACTCACTCTGCATGCCAAACAAGAGCTCTCTAGCAAGGGATACAGATTAGGGCTATGTTTTAATCCTCATCCAAACCTTAGTGACAGCTAAGTTACAGTGTGTTTGGGGTGGCTTTCAAAGTAAATTTTCTCCTCTATCTTGTAATTGATCAATAGTGGAAGTCTTTTATAACATGGAGGACCAGGATTTAAATTGAAGACCCCACTTTTTCCTCTTTTCATACTGAGAAGGGTGGTATAGAGCAGTTGTTCTCAACCTGTGAGCCAAGACCTTCCATAGGGGTCCCCAAAGACTATTGGAAAACACAGGTTTTTACATTGCAATCCATAACAATATCAAAACGACAGTACGAAAATAATTTTATGGTTGTGGGTCACCACAACATGAGGAACTGTATTAAAGGGTCACAGCCTTAAGGCATAGGGAGAGGTACTATTTGGTGACTTGATTGTTGCTCTCAGCCTTAAATCCCGATCTCCCTATCTGGCAGTCTTGGTCACAGCAGACAGAAGCATTGTCTCTGAAAGTGTTTAACCTCGAATGTGTCAAGAGTTACTTGGGAATTCTCCACATCAATGGAAGCACTGATGAATACATGGCATTGGAAGTCAAGATATTTTTCATCAAAGCTGTCAGTCCTGGTTGCTAGTGCTTATAATTTGAAGCCAGGTGGTGGAGGGGGTACAGTTTGGGTGAGTCTTTGTGGCACTAAGACTCCATTGCAGTTGTGCTCAAGTAAAAGTCAGCTGCATCTGAAAATTCTATAGAATTTCGACCTTTTCTCTTTGTGCCCTTCCCAGCCTCAAGTCGTATTTTCTCTAAGGTTTGTTGGATAGTACCATATCACTAATGGCTGAAAGAGACTTGTAGTGACATTGTTTTAAGGTACACTTGAGATTTCTTTATATCAGGGTATGTAATGCCTTGAGTCTTGTTTTTCCAGTGGATATCTAGTTAATTCATCTGGTGATCCTGAAACCAGAGAACAAAGATGACATACATCCCCGCAAAGGTCACTGTTTTTTATAGTAAAATGCAAACATTTGAAAAATCCACACCTTTACTATGGAGAAGAATGTGAAATCTGTATGGATATTTAAGACAAAAACAGCACCGTATTCAAAAGCATCTCTATCAGCTTTGTCTTGAGGCTTTGCTCCTAGTGCCCCCAGAGTGGCTCTAACAAGCTTCTACCATTGGAAAGCTACAATGGAAAAGCTTAGAGTCTATGGCCGGACTATCCTGAACATGCCCAATATCATCTGATCTCAGAACTAAGTATGTTCAGGCTT